ATAGGACTTTGGTGTGACCACAGTCTACATATTCTCTGTTTTTTCTATCTTTCCTTAGTAATAATACCTAATAAGTCATCAAATTTGAGACAATAAAAAAAATGCTATTTATAAATACTGTTCTATTACAATAACTTGAGTTTAAATGTACCAGTAATTTGCCTTAAAAAAAGCAGACTCGAAAATTGAAACTGGTATCCCGGTATTATGCATGTTATACATTCTAGTATTGTATTTTAATTGTGTCATGTTGTGTGTATGTAATGTACTGATTGTACCACTGACTGTTGTTGTGCTTATGCCAAATATTTCGGGGCTGCCACTTGCAGCAGTGCTTCATTACTGATTTGTTTGTCATTGTATGACCTTTACCCTCATCCCACACCATACATTTGTATTTAACATACTAAACCTTTCTGTTTACATTTTTACATTTCATGCCATTGTTTATTTGTCAAGCAGTATTGTTTTATGTATAGTTTTTTATGTCATATGTCTGCATAAAGTTCATTTACTAATTAAATCAAACCTGTTTATATGTTGTGTTATTATCGTCAAAGTTGGTGTAAGCTCTCATTGTTTTTTTCTGTTGTCTGAGACAGGAAGCAAATAATTTTTTTGTATGAGAAAATAATTTGTGTAATGTACTCTATTGCTCAGTCTATTACTGTTCATTTTACAAATTCACATTTTGTATTGCCATACACTTTGTCTTTAAAAACAGGTGCTGGAAAACTACAACAAAGGGAAAACCGCACTGCTGTCAGCTGCTAAAATCATGGTGAGCCCCACAGAGGTTGATCTGAACCCAGAGACCATCTTCATGGATGCCACTACCACCTCAGAGCAGCCCACCCCGGCTCCCCACCACCGCAGGAACAGCAGTGTCCGGTTAGTACAACTCACACTGAGTGTTAGCATTCCTCTTATTCATGCTTAATCATTCTTCAAATTACTGATCTGTCACAGCAGTAGGATTCAGCCATTAACTTTGCACTTCTGCTTACTGCAATTGCCACTAATTACAACTTTATTGTTTTTTTTCAAAATCATTGTTATGTCTGTTCCTTATGGTTACAAAAAAAGACAAAAACCCTTGTTACGGTAAGCAAAGCATGTCATTACTAATTTTGCATAATGTACTCCTCTCTCATGCACGCATGCACGCTGTCTGGCTACAGAATGGTTACTACATATGGTACTATTGAGTTCCCTCTTCGTCCTCTCTGGTTTAGCCCCTATCCAAAGTCAGTGTAAACTCCACAACGTCATGGTTGAAGTAGAATAGACCCTCCTCTGTTTAAGCAGTGCTCTGAGCACTTTATCACACCCCTGGGGTTGTAGTCTGTGCTTTCTACTGTGTTCACTTGTGGTGGTTTTTAGTTTTTAGGTGACTATTGTTTTACATACTAACACTATTGATTATTTTCTCCTCTTTAAACCTTTGTAAGTTTCCTTAACCTATTGTTTTAACTGTGTCTTGAGACCCATTTACCCATTTCCTGGTCATTATTGCCCCTTTTTTTCCCTTTTGTCTAGTTCTGTTGCCCAGTCAGAAATATCGCTGGATGGTTTCTCTGAATGCCCTCCTCCTCCGGTGCCTGTGGTGTTGCGTGGAGCTCGAGAGCGGCTCACGGTGGAGTTGAGGGATCGTAAGGCTCCTCTGGCCGTCATGGAGAGTCTGTCTGACGCAGAGTCCCTGTACAGTTTGGACTCTCGACGCTCCTCAGCTGCATTCAGGGGGTCTCCCATGTTGGGCAGCCTGCCATTTCCTTTGGATGCCCCCATCCCAGAGGAGAACCCCTCTCTGAGTTCTCGGACTGAACTACTCGCTGCTGACTCTCTTTGCCAGGCCACGCCAGAGCATCTTGGTGAGGTCGGGCCCTTCTTTACACCCAACCGTGAATCTTCATTGACTCCTGATTACCCTATGCGACTATCCCCAGCCACTCCACGCTACAGTGGGCACCACTCTCCCACTTTGTTAAACCAGAGTGTCCGGCCTCCACCTTTCAAGGCAGAGCCAAACACCAATGTGATGCTTCCTGATGGAGAGTATCAACAAATACCTGGTGTGTACAGTCCTGGGAGCACCCCTCCTCCAATGAGTCCTCACGTTCATTCGAGACCTGTGGATGGAGAAAAGAGAGGCTGGGACTTGGACGGTATGGCTAAGACCAATGGAGCAGCTTCTACACAGTCGACTCAGCTGTCCAATGGAAACACAAGTCAGGCTGTGCTGGAGTTTGCCCAGTATTTGGACTCTCTTTTCAGGCTGGACGGCAGCAGCTCGCCTCCTCTAGACCTCTCTGATGGCGAGTCAGAGTCGGGCAGAGGCTCGTATGGCCAGGTCGAATGCTTGGGAGATGGACAGTCATTGGATGACAAACAGCTTTTGGCCAGAGCCACACTGGAGCCAAACCTGGTCCCCAAACCCCCTCGCACTTTTGCTGGATCTGCTGACCCTTCATCAGGCATCTCTCTATCTCCCTCTTTCCCTCTATCATCGTCAGAGGAGCTCAATGACCTGTCTCCAGCAGAGGGCGCCCCAACAGCCATACACCCTCTTCGAATATCCTCGCCCTGCCATTGTCCAGAGGATAACACACTATCATCTATGGTGTAGTGGGAGGCCTAATACTTGTGTGATGCAGTCATTGAAACTTTGATAACATATCACATGTGCATGCTTTGGAATGCAGTCACCCATCTGAGATGACAGAACTTGACATTAACAACTCACAAACTACATTGTTCAGGAATATTCAGTGGACATGTTGATAGCATTTTCTCACTATTGCAATGTTTGGAAAATGATACCTCTCTCTGCATGCCAGGGGGCTGTGCTGCTTTTGGGTGAATATAGATAACTGTAGCTTCTCAAGACCATTCCAAAAGATGTGATGTCGCCCACAAAGGGACAACGTCAAATATACTATGTTTTTAATTCAGTAATGGGAGAGAATAGTTATTTATCTACACAGGGAAATATACTTATTAGAGCAGTGATTCTTAACCAACCATGGTAGGGCCATGAGCACCATCTTAACACACAAAAATATATCATATATAATATAGTTAATACTAGTATGTGAATTAACCCCTGGTTACTTTGTGTTGAACAAAATTGGGTCTCAAGGTTATAAAGGTTAAGAACCCCTGCTTTAGAGTTTATCATGGGCACATCGACTTCCTCTACTCTGATCAGCTACAGGATTTCTCCAGATTTATTTTGTTGTCAATATCAGAAATGTGATGAAGGACAAGTTTGTCTACAAACCGAAGACATTGCAAAAGGATCCTCAGGTCTTGACTTTGACAAACAAAAGTAAGTGTGTTTTATTGGTGAGAATTCATGTGTCTTAAAATTTAGTGATTGTGACCAGTTATTACTGACACCAATGGATGTTTATTTGAGTATTTTGGTTACTCTTGGTAGTGCATGAAAGTTTATTCTTTTTTATTTCAAGAGAAATTGTCTCTAAGACACTTAGATTGACATTGAATACTCTTGCACATTTCATCTTGCTAACCCCTTTTATTTTGCCAAAAAATAATACATGTATTGCCAAATGTATTTATAAAATGTAATTTTGTATATGTATATAAATATTGCTTTATTTAAGTGCTGTTGCACATATTATGGAAGTTACTTTATATTTCTTTCCCCATGATCATTCTGTATGTTCCTACACTGCTCCAACCAGATAATTTCACACCACAGCCCCTCACCTGGGGTCTTTGCTGCTTGGCCAAACAAACAAACACAAAATGACTGGCCAAACTTTTGAAACTAGGTAGCTATCCACAATGTGCCAGGGGCTGTGTCTGCATGAGTTATGCATTTCAGTAGCATGGCTGATCATGTCCTTAGGCCACAATGATCATGCAGTGAAATTATATAAGCTTTTGGAAGGCATTGAAAATCATCATCAGAGATGGTTTCTCTTGTTTATAAGGTGCTCTGGATGTCAAAGCATTTGCTTCCCTTTAATCTGATTCATGTCCAACATTCAGGAAGGACTACAGAAGAAAACTTTACAGGCATGCCACTTTTAAGCATGTCACATTCAATCCAGCTCATCACTCTGGACATCTGACTTTGCATTATTTATTACTGTTTATATTGTTATCACTTTTATTGCTATATTTGATGGTATTATTATCCTTATTACTGTTGCAACAGATTGTTTTTAAGTCAGTGGTTTATATCTCACTTGATGGACACCACTGTATCAGCTTTTTTTTTTTTCTTTTGATCAAATATTTATTTAACATTTTAAATGGCATGGTGACAATATCCTCATTCTCTTTTTTAAACAAAATATCATAGTGATGAGAAATGCAGATTCTCATTGATCTATGGTGCAGTGCTGCCGCCAAACCAATGCCATGAGTGATCAACACAGGTTATTTGTTTGGAATGAGATTTGTTGTGGTTACTCACAGCTGACTGTTCCAGTTTACAGCCTGAAATTACTCCAATCATGCTGCCACTTCCTATAATCTCTCTACATTTACTAAGGTTAGGCCACAAGTTTCATATCTTAAGGAGGCTTACTTGCATATAGGAGTATATGAAGTACTGCTGAAAGAAAGCACTAAAATATTTTCACCATGTGTACAGCACCATTCTCTGTGTGTAATTATTTATGCAGATATTTCCAACAAATAAATATAGAAAACAACTATGTAAACATAAGAGAACAGTAATGACCTATAGATAAATCATCTCAAGTTATTTATTCAAACTATCGGCAGATATTTAATTGATCTATATTTGGGGGGAAATAATTCAACTGTGTCTTGTCCACGTTTACCTGGTTTGCCTCCCCTTCCCCTCCTACTCCACAAAAAGAATGTATTTTATCCCTGCCCCCCATTGCCCTGCCTGTAATAAAATAAAAAGAAAATGTACAAGCGTTCATGTGTGTAATGTTATTCTGGAACATACCAATAGAGGGAGGAAATCACCACAAACAAAACTTTCTTCGAAGAAGAAGTACTTCCGGTTTGGGGTTAACGCTAATGCTAAGTGGCGGCTAACTTCAGAGGAATGTAAATGCCGTCTTTATTTTATTGAAATGAATTGATTTTCCAGGTGGTTATTGCCAACTCAGTCAAAATATACGGTAAGTTAAATGTGGCGACTGCTCATTAGCTGCTAAGTGATTTTGATAGTCTGTTTTTGTTTTGTTGTGTCGATGATTTGTTAGCCTAGCTCAGCTGTTTCTCAGCTGATCCGTATGATAATGCCAAACCTGTTATATGTCATTCGTATGAAATTATGTGTTAAAACCTAAACCAACTCCCCATTTCGGTAATTACTATAATTTGTTATCCGTCATTCATATTCACTTAAATATTGGTTGTTTCACTCAAAGAAGCTAATAGCTTTATTTGTTAGGGGCTTGTTAGGGCTTCACTCTAACTATTGAAAATGTATATGTGTATGTATATATATATATATATATATATATATATATATATATTATATATATTTGTTTGTAGTGACTGTAGTTGGTGGAGCCATGTATGCCTCCAGTAAGTACAGCTCTCGGGGACCAGCTCTGATCCCGAGGATGAAGATCAAGCATCGGATCTACTACATTACTTTATTCTCCGTGGTGCTGCTGGGACTCATTGCCACGGGGATGTTCCAGTTCTGGCCCCACTCCATTGAGTCCTCTGCGGATTGGACTCTGGATAAACGCAGTGTTCACGATGCTCCTCTGGTCAGGCTGCCCGTGTCCAGCCCGATCCCGGAGAGGGGTGACCTGAGTTGTCGCATGCACACCTGTTTTGATGTCTACAGATGTGGCTACAATCCTAAAAACAGGATAAAGGTACTTATTCACACCATGCACACCCTTTATATGAATTCTGAAAATGGTCATCTGAGAAAAGTTGAAGAATGAGTGAAGGATATAGTTGTTAAAATATACACAATGTTTTCCTTGTTATTGTTGTCATCCGACTGTCATGTACTGAGGTTTCTTGCCTTTAAAATATATTTAAATCTAATGAGCAAACAAATTTAAACTATATTTAAAATACTAATATTATTTATATATTTGTAGGTTTATATCTATCCTCTTCAGAGGTTTGTGGATGAAGTTGGGGTCCCCATCAGCAGCACAGGACTGTCCCGAGAATACAACGACCTTTTGAGTGCCATTTCAGACAGTGACTTTTACACAGATGATGTGAGCAGAGCATGTCTGTTCATTCCTTCCACTGACGTTCTCAATCAGAATTCATTACGAGTCAGAGAGACGGCACAGGCTCTGGCAATGCTGCCCAGGTAATTATAATCTTATGTTTGCAGTTTATCATTAAAGGTGCACTGACAGTTTCTGAATTTTACTTTTTTATTGTTTTTTTCCCCGATATGGTGACACTGCCTTGGAATTTTCCCTAGTATCATATTATCTTACCTTTATTCAATTCCAGGCGTTGTTTTTTTTTTTTTTTTTTATTATTATTTTTACTACTGGTGGCAGGGTGACCTCTCCAGTGATCTTACCTGTAAATACCTGATGGTGTTGTCTGCCTATTCACATGCAGATAGACAAGTTAAATAACATACACTGAATCGTTCCAGACAAAGGAAACACTGAAGAAAAGTTAAATACTACACCTGTAAAGCTTGCTTTCTCTCCCCTCCTTCATGCACTGAGTTATGTTTTTGCACAGATGGGACAAAGGCATGAATCATCTACTTTTCAACATGTTGCCTGGAGGACCCCCGGATTATAACACTGCTTTGGATGTGCCAAGAGATAGGTAAATGCATTTTAAATTTGTCATATATGATTTTTATTAATGTCAACTTGATGATATTAAAATAAAATTAATGGCATTCTAGACCATAAATTTTAAAAAGTACAAGTCACTGAAAACTATCTTTAGATTTAAGGAATTCCTCCAGCTGGACATGGTTTGACATGGCCTTATCAAAACCAGGTGTGCGTGACCGACTGTTTTCACTTTACATTAACACTGCCTGGATCTCTCAGGAAAATCCAAATGCATTTCATCACTTACAGTTTACTACATTCAGTTTATATGGAGCCTCTTTACCCACTCGGCCTTAAAACCTTTTTGATGTCATCATAGGTCTCAGGTTCCAGGTAAAATGTCTCGGACAGACTTTATGTATCATGTTTTATGTTGAATCCTTTCAGTCAAACTTGTCACTGTGTTAAATCATTGTCACGACATGAGTTCCTTTATTTCTGCTCAGGGCTTTGCTGGCAGGAGGTGGTTTCTCCACTTGGACCTACAGACAAGGCTACGATGTCAGTATTCCAGTCTACAGCCCCCTTTCTGCTGACGTTGAACTGCCTGAGAGACAACCTGGGTAAGAACAATATGCTCTGATGTGCAGATGTGGAGAAGAGACCATATAGGATTATAGCTTGCAAAAATGTCACTTTATATTAAATTCAGTACACGAATGGAACAACTAAATGCAAAAGTCCAGTATAACCTGTCCCCAATTCTTACTTGAGTCATTTAATTTAATGCAGTTTTTAGTATCTTACCATTATGTAATCCTAAATCTGTCTTTCTGGTGAACAGCTTAGTTACTTTTTAATATTTATGGTAATATATGAAGCAAAAAGCATACATTTTCAGATAGATTGGTCTTTTTTTTTTTTTTTTTTTTTCAACCATAATTGAGAAAAACTATGGGTTACTACCATTGTTTTCCACTGGACTAGCCCAGTGCATGTCTATTTTGACTTACTGCCTTTTTTACAGTCTTTTATTTCTTTTATTTTGAATTCAATGTAACTCCATTTCCCCCATTTTTTCAGACCACGGCGCTACTTTATTTTATCCTCCCAGACCGCGATTCACAGGGAGTATCGCGCTGAACTTGAACGTCTAAAAGAGGAAAATGGAGAGGCTCTGCTGCTGCTGGACAAATGCAGCAATCTCTCACAAGGAGCTGCCTCTGTCCGAAAACGGTGTTACAAAGGCCAAGTGTATGACTACCCCCAGATCCTACAGGTTGGAACAATCATTGTGTAATTTATTTTAGGACCTTTAAGATGTAACTTGTGAAACTTACTAGAACATTTGTATAATAATAATGTGTAAAATAGGGCCACACTATTTTCGATCTATGTTATAATGTTTCCTGTTCAAAAACATACCTGATGTTGTGTTTTATTTCATTCACACATGTTTAACAGACAAACCTTGCATATTTAGGAGTATTTTGGTTCTTCTCTGAAACAGAAAACACTTCGTTCCACGTTGAGATGTTACATGGTAATAGTGGAAGTGAGTGCTACATGCTATTTTAAACTTCATACATTCTACCCTAGAATCATTTGGATAATTTCAACCTGGAATTGCCAGTCTCTACTTAACAAAAGGTAAAAGGGTGATGTGAACTTGAAAACTACTCATGACATCACAAGGTGGAATAGAGCATTTTTAGCTTTGGAGATGTAGACAGCCTAATAATAAAGGTTTTCCCAACCATGTGTGAATGAAACAAAACACAATTCTGTTTGTTTTTAAGGAGGCAACGTTCTAACATTAAAGTTACAAGAGTCAATTTTGTGTAATATAGGACCTTTAAAGTAACAGTTGTGTTTGGCCAACAGGAGTCTTCATTTTGTGTTGTTCTTCGAGGAGCTCGGCTGGGGCAAGCAGCTCTGAGCGATGTCCTCCAGGCTGGATGTGTCCCCGTCATCCTTGCTGACTCTTACATACTGCCCTTTTCTGAAGTTCTGGACTGGAAAAGGTAGTGGTTTACATTGTTTTGAAGAGTTAAGATTTCAAGTTAGTCAATTTCTTCTAATTTTAATATTTGATTTAGGGCATCCGTGGTTATTCCAGAGGAGAAACTCTCAGAAATGTACACCATCTTGAAAAGTATACCTCACAGACAAGTGGAAGAAATGCAAAGACAGGTATTTTAAACTTTCAGCTCCAAAACTACAAATACAATTAACTTTTATTTCATGTTGAAATCATAGGTCATTATAAAACCACTTTAGTACAGTGGTAAAAGGCGTAAGGAAGAGCGCTAGTTCAACTACCAGTTGTTGCCTTGTATAGACTTATATGACACTTCACAAGCACTGAAACGTCTTACAATGATTATAGAACAGAATAATCATGACAAACATAACAGTGCTTGAGCTCTTATTGGATTGGCCACCAGAGGGCTCAACAGTCTAAAACTTAGGGGTGACTTTAGACTGAGTTATGTGAACAATTTTTTTGTTTCTTACATTAAAAAAAACCTTTTATATTCAGAGAGATCCAGCATAGCTGGTTATCTGTCAACACACCTGTGTCTTTGTAGAAGACATTTCCTGACTACAAATCCATTATCTTATTACTACTATAATTATTAATCTTAATAATCCTTCTGTTTTCATTATGTAGATACTCCATAGTCATAACTTCTGTCCACAGAACTTCCTCAGAAAGTCCCAGAGAAAACTATAATAAAACAACTGTTTTTGGATAATACAAATCTTGATTTTATTACTTTACACTTAAAAGTTTACACAGTCCATATCCCCATGTGTAATTGTTACATGTGGAGCAATAATTTAACAAAATAAAATAAATCACAGTTACTGACTGACTGATCACATAAAGTTGTGGTTTTATTCTCATAGAGGGGAAGAGTCTCCTCTTTCTTGGTCATAAAAATTCCTGCAGGCGCTGGGAGAGAGTGGATAACCCCTCAGGCCAGTCGAGTTTTCTTTTTGCGTACTCCCGGCCGGATAAGACACTTTCATCACTGGTTGATTTATGGGCCGTGGGGAATCCCCCTGAGACTAAAATCTTTTTGGAATCAACCTCTCTTCTTCAATAAGTTAACTGCTATTTTGCTTTTTGTTTTATCTCTTGTACATTACAGCTAGTACAGAGTAATTTTTACCCTTTTGTTTGTGCACACAAAAGGGCCTTTTTACAAAGAAAAACACAAAAATGTAATGTAATACTTCAAATCATCTTCTACGGGCTGTTTGTCATTTTAGGATTTAAGGGTGGAGTCTGAGCTGTATGGCTTGAGGACTTGGCAGCAGACCCTGTTGTTTGACGCTTCATTAACTGTTATAGGTTTGTCTCGCCTCCGGACTGTCCATTGAAGTTTAATAGATGAGGAAAGCGTTTAGAGGCTTTATCCAAGTCAAGGCTAGAGTTTCCTGTTGGGTCAAGTGACCAATTATAAGTCAATTGAACCAAATATAATTAATTATAAAATTGTCACTATTTTTATGACCATTTTTGTTGGCAGCTGAACATGAGACATGTGCATGTTTAAGTTTACTGAGTCCTGTCCCTGTGACCATAGGCTCGCTGGTTCTGGGAGGCGTACTTCAGCTCCATGAAGGCAATAGGTTTGACGACTCTGCAGATCATCAATGATCGGATTTACCCGTATGCTGCGCGCTCATATGAGCAATGGAACAACCCACCTGTAGTGGTACGTACCTTGACACAAGTGTCTTTTCTCTCTTGGAAATACTAATTTGTCTAATTTATTGGCCCTGTGCCCTCAGTAATTGTTTTAAAAACATGTTTAGTGGAGGCCATACTTGCCCTAAATCTTCACACTGACAGCTCCTCGCTGTGGTTTACTCTGAGCCCGTTCTGAGGCGGTCCGCTTGTGTCAGCGTTTCTGAACACTGGATCCCTGCGTTGTGGTGAAAATAGGTTCCTTCATGTCTGAGTCATTGTGTTTATAAAAAGTTCAGTTGATGGGAAACTTTGCAGCATTTCTGCACTTTTGGCCAGAATGACTTTTTACACCTGAAACCATTAGGGTTTGGAGTTTGATCACATAAGAAAACTGTTGGAGCGATCTGTCACTCAGGTCTGTCCCTCTCCGGCAGGGGTTAAGTGGGTCAGGCTGCAGACCTTTGGCCGTTAGAGCCTGAAATGAGGATGAAGTGTTTTGTGGATGGGCTGCATGAATGGATAGTGAGAAGAACTTACAAGAGCACTAAATAAATCAGGCACAGCCCCCCTCCTCTGTAGTCTCTTGGCTGGTAATTGAAAACAGACTTTTGGGGATTGCTGGTGCTTTTGGAGGGGGTTCAGAAAGGGACAAACTATTTTTTTGTTTTGTTTTGTTTTTGAGCTTGAGGTTTAAACTTTAATCAAAATAAAAATTATGATGACTACCACAGTGAACAAGCGGTAAAATTATTTGTAGGGTCAGTTTCATTTTAACTTTAAAGACACAACAGCAAATTGTAGTTTCACTATATGATTAAAGTTCATACAGTTATGTTGACATTTAAAATTATTTCATAAAAGTCCTTAACAAAACAGAAATAAAACAGAAATGTTGATTCATTGTTATCTATAAATACTAAGTCAGTGCTCAGTTTTCATTATTATTATTATTATTATTATTTTTTAAATAAAAGATCAGTGATGTGTACTCCTGTGGTTGTACTTGAATCTGGTATTTTCAAACCGGTTTATCTTTTCACTTGGGATCACACAAATCAGTTCCCCCTAAATAACCATGTTACCACAATCACAAGGAAGTTTCCACTTGACAGTAAAGCGTTTTAATGGTGCAGAACACTGACTGATGTTTTAAACACAGTAGCTCTGTCTGCTGACAGGTGCCCACAAACTAACTTCACGGAGTCTGTGGCCACCTGGAGCAGAGACTTCTCTTAAACATCAAGAAGCCCACAGTCCCAGTGTACATAAAGCAGAGTTTATAATATTATTCTTCTCTCAAAAAGAACTAAATATTCAAAAAATTGAATGATGTATTTGTTGAATTTGCATTATCATTTTCAGATGCAGTGTTTGTGGCTTATGGCTAGAAAGGTCAGAGTGCTTAGCTTTATACTGAGCTGCTTTTGTTTTTGTGTGTAGAAGTGGGCCAGTGTGAACAGCCCTCTGTTCCTGCCCCTCATCCCGCCTCGGGCTCCAGGCTTCACCGCTGTCGTGTTGACCTACGACCGTGTGGAGAGTCTCTTCAGGGTCATCACCGAAATCTCCAAAGTGCCCAGTTTGGCTAAACTGCTAGTGGTGTGGAACAACCAGAACAAGAGTCCACCTGAAGGTGAGTGCAGCTGTATATATGCAGATGTCTACCCATTACAGCCAATGTTTATCACACAATACATATTTGCTCAGAAATGATTAAAATGTTACATTTAGTTATTTTATTGGCATGAATACACATCACACAGCCACCACAAGACCTAAGCTTCATTTGCACACCAAGAAATCCATGTACAGTCTGATTAAAGAAATATAATTAATAGAGAGCCTAATTGGGTTCCGTTTAATTGGACTCTTAATGATGTCCAAATAGGTGTATTATCAGTGCCTCTGTCTCAGACCCCCATCAGCAGGAGCTGTGTCTCACTGCTCTGTGAGTTTGTAATGAAGAAGTGAGAAAACTTTGAAGTGCTCCCTCGCGGCTGTGAGTTGGGTTTTCATTAGAGGCATCAGCGGCGCCTGGCTGGAGCTTTGTGACCCATTAGAATTAACAAGAGGCCACTGACAGGTCACTCTGCTATGGCTACACATAAAAAGATCAGTTTATATTTTAAAGATGCACTATGTAGCATGAAGATTATATTTTTGTCTTAATGTTCCACAGTATGAGATTAAGTATCTTGCATGTTGTAACCTATGTGGGCTTCCATTGCTCAAAAATGCATACATGGTTACATTCTTATTAGAAATGGTATCACGAGTGTGTCTCCATGGAAATGTACGTTTACTGCCTTACTGTGGAACATTCTCTGCAAAGTAATCAGATTTTCATGGAGTCAGGCAGGAGATGGACCATCCACCTGAAAAATGGTGATGAATGTTTACAAAAGGTGTAACTTACTGTAACATTTTGCATAGCGTTCACATTATCTGTTCCAAAAAACTTGAGTGTTGTTTATCTTTTCTTGTACATTAGTATTTGTATTTACCTTTTTACTAAAAGGCTTTCCCTTTTACTAAGATGTTGTTACTATAGAAGACCTGAATAAAAAAAGAGTTGACAGCTGCACGAACAGTGACTCTGAGCATTTAACTTTGCAGTTTTCCCGACAATAGGTTCTGACAGCAGGCCTCAGACATGGTTAGGATGACTGCGAGCTCCTCTCATGGTCTGCCAAGGGCTTTTACACTATTAATGAGGGGACACATTTGTGTATGATCTATCTGTACCATAGTCCGTGCCATGGACACTACCCAACGCCTTTGAAATGTTCCCTGAAAAAACCCTGTGTTGATGTCCCTTGTGAAGAATTGTAGTGTGGTTAAATTTGCACGTGCTTGAGGTTTACCCCGATATGAAGTCAGGGAGTGTAGTCTGACTGCCAGGGCTGCTCAGACAACTTCAACTGTCCAAAATAAATGTCATTCTAATCCCTAACTTTTCAGCCTGAATCTGAGTCAAAAACAAAAAGCAACTTAACATAATCGTTCTAACACCTACTATACGCTCACCATTCTTTTTGACATTTCTAGAGTCACTATGGCCCAAGATTGGTGTCCCTCTGAAAGTGGTACGTACCAAAGAGAACAAGCTGAGCAACCGCTTCTTTCCCTACGATGAGATTGAGACCGAAGCAGTGTTGGCCATTGATGATGACATCATCATGTTGACGTCTGATGAGCTGCAGTTTGGATATGAGGTGAAAAAACTGTTCATAAAACGTGACTCTTTTGACTCCATCCTCCAACAGCAGCAAATTTGAGTTGATCCTGGGTTTGAAAGTCGTTCAGAGGATTACAGCCTGTTCTCATTTTGTGTTTGATGTGTGAGAAATGATGACAAGTCCTGTGGTGAGGTTTTCCATGTCCACATACCTGAGGCAGATACAGCTCTCACCTGAATGCATTTAGAAACCATTTAATAAAATTGAGTTCAGTTTAAAGATAATTACACCAATTTAAAGGAGCTGTCTGTCTGTACACATGACAGGCTTTTGCAGCAGTGTCTGAACTGTAGCCAGTCACCCAGGTGCGGTTTTACTATTACGTTTTAATGTGTTTTCATCTTTAGGTTTGGAGAGAGTTCCCGGACCGACTTGTGGGCTATCCCGGCCGCTTACATCTGTGGGACCATGAGATGGGCAAGTGGAAGTATGAATCTGAATGGACCAATGAGGTTTCCATGGTGTTGACAGGAGCAGCATTCTACCACAAGGTAAATAAACTTTGCAGAAGACAAGATCATTTTATTTTGCTTTATTTTTTATTGCGTGTTGTTGTTTTTTTTTTTTAATTACCAGAAATCACTTGGTAATTGCAGTTTGGCAACACAGTTAGCTGTGCATATGACTGAAAGGTTTTTATTCCCCATTTCTCTTTTATTCTCTTATTAACTTAAACTTATGTTTCTTCTTTAGTACTTCAACTATCTGTACACATACAAAATGCCTGGAGATATAAAGAACTGGGTGGATGCTCACATGAACTGCGAAGACATTGCCATGAATTTCCTGGTCGCCAACATCACTGGAAAAGCCCCCATAAAGGTACAGACTGGTTATTTTGGCTTCAGAGGCTGACAGAGCAGACCAATCTCTGGCCCAGATCAGATCTCACCCTCCATCTCTAACCGGACCCCCCAAACCCCCCATCTCACCACCCCAGGTCCAGGTGCTGGGGCCCGGGTCTGGCCTTAACCTCCCTTATCTGCACGTCACTCACTGGCACTCCCCTCATGCTGTGTTTTTCTAAGCTCACATGCACTCACACATCGCCATCTAATCACAAGGCACACTGTTCCCCCTGGTTTCACTGGCGCTGGCAATTAGATACCCCTTGAAACATTAAGGCTGATATGTTTAAACTAACAATCACGACTAAGCTAATGTTGTTCTGTTGTTTTTTTGCAGGTGACCCCCAGGAAGAAGTTTAAGTGTCCTGAATGCACTGCCATTGACGGGTTGTCACTGGATCAGACTCACATGGTTGAGAGGTACGCTTTATGATAATCATCCCACTATTATTAATTTACAAATACGGTTAAAATTAGGGCTGAACAATATATCGTAATCAAATTTAATTATTTAGGTAATGCACATGTGAGCAGTTCATATTCTAGCCTTGTCTAGTCAATTTGTGAGAGTGAGAATATAACTTTTTAATACATACATTGCAAAACTAACCACAATCACAAATCTTGTCAGAAAAATCACAGTTTAAATGGTGCTGTAGTTAAAATGTATGAGGAACGTTTCATATAATAGAACCTCTCTTTGTTTCACAGATCTGAATGCATCAACAAGTTTGCCTCAGTTTTCGGTACAATGCCTCTGAAGGTTGTGGAGCATCGTGCTGATCCAGTTCTTTACAAAGACGATTTCCCGGAAAAACTCAAGAGCTTCCCCAACATTGGCAGCCTCTGATGGGCCTGTGCACCTCAGCACCTGTCCACAGCGTCTACAGTTTTATTACACTACACACAGCATCAGTCCAGTATCAACACTGCATATTTGATTCTTTACATATCAAAGTATATTATTTAAGTCAAAGTCTATTCACTTTTTTACACCTACATCTGAATGTTACATGACTGACTTGTACCGCACTATCAACGTATGGTATTGAAAGCAAATGGACAAAGGAACTTCTGCTGTTAAGATGGTGTATAGTGTATATACAGAATATATAATTTATTATGTCCCACTCAAGATTTTAATGGTTGAACATCTCTGTTTTAGCTGTACTGTGTAGAGGCAGAGCTCATGCTTTCAAATTTACAATCATAAACATTTTTCAACTGCAACAAACTAGGTCACATTATGCTAAACCTGGTGCCATGAACTGTATATTTGCTATGGACGGAACTACTGTTGCCGCTAAAGGGGCATTTTAATGTTTATGTGATTAAAATCAGTCATTATGTTTGACACAATAATATTATATTGAAATGGGCAGCTTGTGTCTCTTGGTTAAACACACACTGCGCTGACGTCCAACTGTCATAATCTGTCTATACTTCAGCTTTTATCCTTTTTAGTTGCAGGTCTTTGATATCATGTGTAGTTTTATTTTATTTTATTTTTTACTTTATGTTAATATGTTTCTTTTTTTACATAGGCTTTTATTAAAAGAGTTGTGTTTTTGCCTTTATGTACAGAGTGTACATATATATATGATTTTGTATTATATACATGACAAATAAAGTAAAATTAATATGACCATGTCCTCAACAAAGCATAATTTTGTGTTTATTAAGTTGATTTAACTTGAGACAAGCCTAGTAACCCAGACACTTTTGGTTCATATTGTCATTTTCTTATTGTGGTATATTTTAAGCCTTGTTTTAGCACCAACATCTCTTAAAATGCCATGAGACTTAAAGGAATTACAGTAGTGTCTTAAGTAGAAACCCACAATGTCTTAATCAGGAGATGAAAGTGGGGTCTTAAAAGTGACAGAGACTCAAGTGGCCTCATAATACTGATTCAGTGTTTTTCTCTACTGCTCGTTTAGAGCTGTACTGTCTGCCCAGGGAATAGCCTCCGACGCTAACAGCCTTCATCTCTTATCTTTATGGGAACTCTTATAACTTGACACACACTACTTCAAATGTAATAACTTATTGTATTTTATTTACACACGAAACACAAGAATATGTCAACAGAAGCTTAAAGCCACAAAAATTAATCCTTCAATTTTTAGATGAATTGTATAATGAGAAATAACACAAAAGGTAAATCAAAAATGCATCAAATAAAACAAAATGAGAAATTGAAAATACACATGTTAACGCACATCCAGTTTATGCATGCACAAAGTACACTCAACCACACAACAATATATTCTTAACATAAAATTGCTCATAAACTGATCATATGGTTTCAGTAGTACGAGAAAATAAAATTAGTTATTCAGCATACTGGAGCAAATCTATGTCCTCCCAGTCCTTTTGTGTTTTAGAGTACAGGGTTGTGGGGAGGTATATTTAAAATATGTTTCAATGTTTACTTTATTTTAAATATGTGCAGAGGGGGGTAGTAATTACATTTACTTAAATCATGTTTCTCTTGTTCTCTGAGTAGTTTTTAGACACCATTCTTTTACTCCTATTTGAGTGATATTTTCCTTGATGCAGGGGAGTTGATAGGGGATCTGTTGTGCCAGGCCTCAGGGTCTTAGGGGCCCAAATTTAGACCATTTTCCTATTAATTAGACGCCCAAATTTTTGTCGATGGGACCCTTGTTTTACCCTTCCCTTTCTTCCGTGAGTAAGTCTACATGTGACAAAAGCTTTATCTTGTCCATATTAAATGATATAGATATTTGTGGTCTTGCACAGCTCCTTCAGATATTTAGTTTTTCTAATTTTTGTGGTCTATCTTTTGAAAATACCAGATTTTGTGAATTATGTAATACAACAACTTCAAATTACAAATGAGATGTTAAAAATACTCTTGAATAGTATTTTACCGTAATACTTTTTAAACTCTTACTTGAGTAATTTCTTGGACCACTATGTATGTATGTATGTCTATTAGAATAATATTATTTTGAATCAGCAAAACTCTGACTTGAGAAAAACTTTTGACTTATCTACCCACCTCTGAATATGTGTCTTAAAATGTGTCTGGCTGCATTATAAAAGAGTCTATAGTGTCAATTGAGAAATATTGCTCCAAGTGCATTATCAAGGACATGTGTTACAATGGTGAATGTTAAATTGTTCACCTAAAAATATGAAATCAGAAATGACAAATATGCACATGTACATGATACACAAACCTGAGAGTAAATGTATACTTGTGAGGACTTCTGCATGACCATTTCTGTCCTGACACATAATACTCACACGGCTCAATGTTAATTAAAAGAGACCACAGTGTTCCCCCTCCTCTGCTTAAGCCCCAACACCAGCTCAGGACAGAACCAATGGACACAAGTGTAATGATGGCTGTCTATGTCTATGTGTGTATCAAAGGTGGGTGAGGATTTGTCGAGGAGGGGTTTGGGGGTCTTTGAAAGCAGAGCCATGACAGCTGAGAGGGGAAGTATATCTGCGGCATGTTTGTTTTGCATTTACCCCCTGAGCGCAGCTGTGTGCACTGTCCTTTTCCCAGAACAGTGGACAGAGCTTCTAGTCCTGCCCCTTTCGCCCGCTTTCGTCCAATCCTGAAGCGGGCCCCATATTCATGCTGCAAAAACTACAATCTAGCCACATTAAATTACTTGAATTAAGAAACTTTTATCATGATTTGTAAATTTCAATTAACAAGTAAAGTGATCTACCAATGGAAAAGCATTTTTTGTACTTAAAAAACACTTAATATTAAAACAACAAAACTCTTTGTTTTAAAATAAGAAACAAAATCTAATGTTGCCTGAATTAAGAAAAACACACATTGGTAGATAATTTAACTTGTCAAGATGAATCTACTCTAATAAAGTAAAATGTTTTTAATTTAAGTCATTTTAACTTGCTCGATATTACTTTTTGCAGTGCACTAACCAGATCTTTGGACTTTTCTCCTCACATGTATCCAAAATCATATTTATGTCGTGGGCACAGAGCCGGGTGAAATTGGATGTAATTTGGATGCTTCGCTGACAGCTCATAACCTTTGTCTTTCCTACCTGCTCAGAAGTCCGATAAATGTGGTTTAGTTTAAAGAAGTAGTGGGAGGGTGACTTCTTCAACCAAAGGTGCACTGTGATATCAAGTTACGAAACGAAAGCTTTTGTTATGGTTTAAGCTCAATGCAAAACCCCCAAATGGTATTAGGGCATATTGTTTAAAATAGGTTACTCTAAATTACCCCAATGGAAGGGAATGGTTTCGTATCAAAATGTGTGCAAGTCCTGCTCCTAGAGTAAATGTCGCATTTCTCTGAGTGTATCCAATCTAAGGCCTATAATTGTTGGAAAATGTATTACTACTTAAAGGTGCATTGTGTAACTTTTCCGGTAGAGAGTCTGTCAAATTATTTTCTCCGTTGAGATGTTATGTCTCTGTCTGAAATGTTTCACAGAATGGTATTAAACCTTTCTATCATCATGGAGACCAAACCAGACCAAGTTACCAGTCAGATCTGGGGAGGCGCAACCCTACTCACAGTCAGAATGCATGTTTTCTAGGTAATTTTGAGCAATAAAAGCACCTATAATTTAATAAATATAAGGTAGCGCTATTAATGTCATACTGTGGAATATTCCAGGCAAAAGAATCATGTATTCATAGAAACAAGCAGGTGACAGACCCCTAACTAAAAAGTTACATAGTGCAACTTTAATGAATTAATTAATGAACTGAGTGATAAAATGTTGTAAAATTACCCAAGAGAAAATATTACACAAATTAATTAATTACATTTCTTGTTAACTGTAAAAATACAGTAATTTTTTAAGTCGCAAAATCTTCAATTCCTTGTGCTACTATGGTTCCAATATCAAACATTAATTTGAAAATAAATTACATTAGTAAGAGATAATTAATTACAAAAATAGTTAATTGGCTTAATTTTCTGAGATGCTGAGACAGAGGTGTTATTATAAAGAGTCCATGAAGTCCCAAACAGATGGCAGTTAGCTTCCCTGTTGCTTCTGTCTGTGTGATTGACAGGCACTTTCGGACTGGAGGAGGCTGAGAGGGTAAAGGGCGTGTCCACTCCCATGAGTCTTCGGAGCTGGTTTTGTTCAAAAGTTGTGCTTCTGCTATTTCCAGGCTACAAGACCAGCTGACCATTTCCTCTTTCATCTGTTTTTTCATTTCTTCTCAAAGTTTTCAAACACTGTTTGTTATTTCACACCATTCAAACTAACTATTTATGTCAGCCTTTTCTTTACTACTCTGTGTGGCATGACCTTCTTGCATAGCTTCTGGTCAAACAGACTAAAATTGCATAGATGAAGAAGAGGTTTGGTTCAGCATAAGGGTGCTTGGTAAAAAAAAAAAAAAAAAAAAGTATTTGCTAACAGATAAATGAGCCAAAATTCAAATTTAAATAAAATAAAACAGCACCGGCAAAGCATACAAACATAAAAGCATTGTAAAAAGTCTGTATTCATCCTATAAGTGCATGTAAATTTAGTTGTTCCTATGATGGTCAGTACTCTGCTTCAATTCTACAGTACAGCACCACAATCTTTCCTTCAACATTTTCATACTCTGATGGCATTTCAAAAGGTAGTAATCGTTGCCTTCACTGTTATCATATTTGCCCCCTGAACACACGTAGGGCTGAGAAAACATCTCCAAAATAAAGTCCTAGGTGCAGTGAACGCATCATGTAGCCCAGGATATGGCGGCACTGTGCTCTTTAGCCTTCATGCGGAGAGCGGCGATGCTTGAGGACTTGCGGTCGGGGTCCATGTTGAGATCGTATGAGTTGATGCCCGTCGCCATGGCAGCGGAGGAGGACCCGAAAAGGCTGCCCATGTGAGACTGGCCCACGTGCCCCGCAGAGGACGGGACGCCCAGGAAGTCAGACACCCCGCTGGCGGAGTGAGGGTGGGGGGTCATACAGGGGCTCACCGTGTCACAGGGAACCACGCAGCCAGGGACCGGAGAGGCTGCGCTGGAGCCACCCAACCACGATGGATTCTGGATCTGATGGGGTAAAAGGAGATTCCTGATTAAAATCCTGATAAAGACTAATACATTAAAAGTGCATTGTGTAACTTTTCTGGTGGAGGGTCCGTCAAATGTTTTTCTCCATGGAGATGTTATTGCTTTGTCTGGAATGTTTCACAGTTTGGCATTAAACATTTCTATCTTCAGGAGATCAAACCAGACCAAGTTACAGGTCAAATCTGTAGAGAGACAAGCCTACGCACAGTCAGAATGTTGTTTTTCCAGTTATTTTTGAGCTATAAAACCACCTGTAATTTAATAAATGTAAGGTAGAGCTGGTTAATGTCATACTGTCAAACATTCTAGACAGAGCAATGACAAGCAGGTGACAGAACCCCCAACCAAAAAGTCCCAGAGTGCACATTTAAGTCAAGTTAAAATTATTACAGGGAACGAGTTAGAATGTCTGATAAATAACCAAATTCCTCTAATTGTGCATTTATATAATCTCCATTCCTATAATTAAAATAGATTTTATAGATTTGACATGTTGGCATAGATGATACCTGCTTGTCTCCATGGACATAGTTACGCTTAAAGCCACACTGTGAACCATTCTAGACAAAACAGTTGCATCTTCACAGAAACAAGGTGTCAAAACCTCCACCATGAAAAATACATATTGTGTCAGTGGATTAGCACATTCTTCATAATAATAGTTATAGTATTACTTGATTAAAACACCATTGCACTCACTGAGAAACCATTATTCATCACACACAGTGATGATAGTGGTCATACCTGTGCATAGTTCTCATGGCGAGACAGAAGAGGCAGTTCATAGGCCGTGGAGAAGTGAGTCCGAACCTGCTGCATCTGACCAAAACGCTCCCTCTTCCTCCATTTAGCTCTACGATTCTGGAACCAGACCTGTAGAATAAAACATACATTATTTTCACTGCTAGAACAGTGTGTATAGTCTGTTTAAGCTTGAGGTACACAGGTTTGGGAATGTTGAATAGTTAATGATAATTATATTGTGCTACAGAGCTACAAAACTACTGCTATGTATTTGAAAGGGGTGTCCTGGTTTTCTTCAGTTTTCTGTAATCATATTTGACATGTAAACCTGAGAGTGTTGTTTATTGAACCTAAATTACATTCAAAGTGAGTGAAAGTCTAAATAATGTTCTCATGACTGATCTGCTTTTCTTTACATGATATTTGCACTATACCACCACAACAGTCCAACCTTTATGACATCCAGTGTATCATTCTATACCTTTAACAATCTGCTTTTAGTTTAAAATATTATGTAAAGGTACTCTATCCATGGGTTTCAGAGTGAAACATTGCCTTAATAATTATCAATTCAAAATAAAGTATTATATATATATATATATATATATATATATATATATATATATATTGTCAAAAGTCCTCAAAATGCTCATTTAGCCTGATGATGGTAAAACATTGTAATTAAAGCTAATGAATCTAAAGAGTTTCACAAGCCTGTGGACTAAACAGCATTGCATGGAGCACAGCAGCAGCCGCTCACTCAGGTTCTGGAAGTACATTTTCAAATTCAACATCTGAAAAATTAAAAAACTAAAAAAGCTCAAACTTTGTAAAGTTTCAAAAACAGATTTTAAATGACAGGTCTTGTGGTCATTAGTTACCAGGTAGGTGATTAGCCCTGAGCAAGCTTTCAAACTCAAAAGAGAAAGTCTATGAGAAAAATTAATGGGAAATTTAGCTCTGGAATCAGGAGGTGGGCGGTCCCTGTTTAGCTCCATTAGAATGGGCACCATCCCATCTTTATCATGTGTTTTGGGATAGTCCAAGTGTTCATAAATATTGGACTGACATTAATAAAGCACTGCAATTTATTTTCAACATTAACATCCCTTGACTCTAAAGCTATATATCTGGAACATACAACTCCTGCAATGGAAACAATCAATGGACACCTTTGGAATGTACTTTGGCAGCAGAGAAAAAGCTATCACAAAGAAATGAGCCAACTGTCAAGGACTGGGCTCATTTATGAGATGGACAAAAAAGAAAATACCTTTGCCGTTGTGGACATGGACAGAACATTGACATATTATTGTGCAAATATGCCCAGCAACATATACACTCAATAAACATAGATTCTTGAATTTCCTTTCTTACTTCAGGATCAGTTAAGTGTCAATCTGTATGCCAGGCCTCATAGATAATTCAAACCAGTTACATTTGTTTTGTCATTCGCTCTCTGTTTGTATTTGTCTTTTCTCAGTAACAATAATAAAAAATAAAAAAAAAATATATATGGCCACCATCAGGTCTAAAATGCTAATACAGTATGCTAATCACTGGATGCTGGAAGTCAGATGGTTTATTTGAACAACCCAGATGTGATAAACCAAAAGAATTTTCCCCATAGTTTTAACCCCTTCCCTACCCCATGTTTAAGTATAGTTCCAAGTATTTTTAAGCAGCGTGTGCCAGGCCTGTTGGCGATTATATGAGCAGGAACATATTTTTGTGTTGCACACTCGGCGTCGTGACAGTAATTGGTAAAGACCTTGACAGCTTAAGTAGCCGGTGGACTTTCAATGAGCCTTTATTTATGTTACAGCCCCAGAGAGAAAGAGCAGAGAAATGGCAAACTGGCCCCAGCAGGAGAGCTGTAGCAGGCCTACCACACTTTGAAGTGCGCCGAGGCTCCGAGGATTGATAACCCGCCTTTCCTGTCACTCACGTCAGCTCCAAACCAAAGTCCACCAAAGAAATCCCCCGTCTCAGACCGGCTTCGCTTTTCCAACACCCATAAGCACTAGTAAAAACATGCTGGAAACACCTCTGACCACTGTTGTTACTCATTAAAATGTAAGTTTGTTTAGCTCCTTCAGGAATCCTATGGCAAATAGTTTGTGACTTCCTTTTACGATTATGAGAAGGTCAACAATAACAGAAATCTATGAAATGGTATCTTCTTGCTGTTTTAGGGCAGTGAATATAGTTCTGATCGGACCCAGAGAGCTCTTTGATCAGTTAGCCATCAGGGTTTCAGAAGATTCACTCAATCACTATATTGAGTTAAAAATATATATATTATTTGTGTTGTTTATCAAATTATTTGGAAGTGGACTGTGAAGCTGTGCCAGAGTTTGCGGAATTAAGCTATTTTTTCCATCAGTAAAATGAATGTTGTCAATATTTACATTCTATCAGGACAAAAGAGAAGCAAGCCAATGTTATCTCTGTGCAATTCACAAGTCTGGATAAATTAATGGGTACAGACTTTGTCTATGGTGGAAGGTAATGAAGTAAAAGTAAAAAAATACTGTAATGATGTAAAACTGTAGGTATCTGTGCCTTACTTAAGTACATATTTAAGTGGATACTTTAAGATTTTTAACTTGAGCAGATTTTTTCATGTAATACTTTTACTTTTACTGACTTTACTTTAACTTTACTGCACTTTGTCATACAAGTCAGTGCAAACCAGGAATCAGATCATTGCTGTTGTGACCAGGAAAGGGGAAAATTCAAAAGCAAAATTATGAAACCAACAAACTATAGTTTGGGCGACACTACCCACCTCTGCTAACAGACACACTAGCAGGAGAATATTGCTGTGTGCTGATTTTTAAATAATTAAATCTAAAATTCTTGCAATATTTCATGTATGCAGTACAAATGCAGTAAAATTTTAGTTCTTTCTCCTTTTGGGCATATGGCTGTCCTCGTGTCTGCTGGTCTCCATGTGTCAGATAGCATCTCAGCCCGTGCGCTCAAAGGCAAATCTCAGATAGGTGGTGTTATTGAAACCCCTGACCTTTCACCTCTGACCTGCTGGTGTTTCCGCAGAACATATGACTCGACATGGAGCTATACTTTCCCTTTGAAAAGGAAAAAGCAAACATCTTGTGCAAAATCACCTTCATAGTTTCCTTTTTGCCAGACTGAGATACACAGTACACCTCTCCCCAGCAGTAAGATTTTCTGTCTCACCCCGAAACTGTAGAACTGATGAGCTGCGATTCTTCACGTGTGAATGAGTGGAGACCAGAGCGCCGTGTTTTTTGACTGACAAGGCATTTCGTGTCTTTTATCTTTGCCGTTTGAGAGTTTAAGAGGGCCGCTGGGAGAGAGACAGCCGTAAAGCTGGGTCCATCTGAAGCAGTCCGGTGTGTGATAAAATGTGCAGAGAGGCAAGTCTTCAGAGCCTCAGGGGTTGAGTTATAACCCCACGGGCCATGCACATTTCCTGTCTCTCTCCTCACAGTAAAAGACCCCACTCCCACCCTGCACCTTTTCACTAGACACTGGTACAAAAGGCCACATGCCAAAGACCAAAAGTGAGATAGATCTACTAATGTTGCCTTTTCTAATCACAGTGTGTAGCCAGAGTCAAGAAGGTAAACAACTTGTCAAATTACCATGCAACTGGTTCAGTACAGCAACATTTACTACGTACAAGGTGTACCCAAAAAGATAAAAATGTTATAGCAATCTTCAACACAATTCTTGTTACTATGATATTGAATACGTCCACTCAGTATTCTGAGATTTTATACATGGTTACTTTGAATATTGTGAGATGCAAGAAAAAGAATGTCCATGGATTTCAGAGCGATGGAAAAAATAGTTCCATTGCTATAGTCATTAAGAATTTATAACAAAATATCCTATCTTTTGAAAGTCAGTCAAAAAAGACAAAAAAAAGAACAAAAAAAAGGTAAAAGTCCTAAAATATCACTTGTAAACAAGAAGTTGAAGTTCATATGATGCTGTAAGGACTGTATAATAAGCATGTCTGTTTTTTGTCCTGAATGCACAGCCTTTTAAAAAAAAACTGGACTGAACAAAAATGTCTTCATCAATGTAACTCTATAGTTTTAAAAATATAACAGAGTTTTCACATGGAAATACACTAGAATTACCCCCCTGTGTTTCATGTTGTCATTTATAGGCATGCTTTTCTGTGTTGCACAATTGGTATAAAAAGTGGAGCAAGAGGCCACAAGTCAGAAAAGAGCCCCAAACCTGGGAGATATGTTTCCAGGTTGTTTGACTAAAGTGAGCCTAAAATATCAACTGGCCCAAAGCCCCTGGGAAGGCTTCACACCTACCCCAGAGACCTCAGCAGGGACACATTCTTGTCTGAACAGGAAGTTAATGAAAGAAAAACACTGCAAATCCAAGGGCTTTGGCGAACCAGGGCACACACACTCACCCTTGGATCATATAGAAATAGTTGGAGGTCACTCGCCTTGTTCCACTTGTAGGAATGTATGACAGAAGTTCAGAGTAAGAATTTACTTGTGCACAAAAACGACCAAAAACTGTCACTTGAAAAAACAATACTACTCAAGTTGAAGTGAAAATGTGATCTAAATAAATGGATGACTCAAGTATAGGTAAAATAATGCAATGCGTTATTAAAATTTTAGTAATTTTAGTCATCTATAGATCATATCAATGTAGTTTAAAGCTATGCATGGTTTATTCAGTACAAAATGGCACTCAGGAGTTGCAAGTTCAAAATTGTTACTCAGCCAAGTGAAAATTGTGCAATAAAACATTATACAATACAATAAACAAAATACTTAAATGTACATGCAACTTGTAATTAGTACCTACTTATGGTCTAGGGTAATTGGATGAGGTCTGTCTAGTCAATTACACAACCATAAATAAAATGCCGTACTATTTCTGCAATAATCTGCTGTAATGTGTTTGTAGAAATGCACTCTCCTACAGTGCACATCTGAGGCGCAGGCAGCTCCAGTGGGCCCCTGCCTGGCCTCTGTAACCCCCCGTCCCCCCTCCTCCCCTCTCTCTCGCTCCTCACTACTCCCACATTACCAGATAAATCTCTCATGTTTTTACAGTGAGTGACGTTATCTTTGGAGAACTGCAGATGTTTAAAGGACCCTACAGAGCACATGCATTTGGCCATGGGTTTAGGTATAATTTTCAGTATAAAAATGTATAAATGAGCAATATACACTTTGGGAGATCCTAGGAAGGAAACAGTTGATTAAGAATGATTCAGGCTCAGTAATTACTTGATTAAGGGTTTAGGGTTAAGAGTGAAGGTTAGAGTATTAATTAAATAGTTACCAAGCATGAATTATTCTTAATTCTTAAGTATTTCCACATGATTAAAGCATTAAGGCTAATCAGCATTATAAAGAGTTACTCTAATAGTGTTATATTGGTTTTGGCATTTAACGGTTCTCATTAAATCTCTGTAAATAACCTAAATAAAGAAAAAAAAAGCCCTATAATACAGCAACAAACCATTATAATATGATGTCTACAGTAAATGTACACTTTCCAATTTGCAGCATTTTTAACTTGTTGCTAGTAAAATAATTTGAAGTACTTTTTGTTTTAAATAATAATGCAGAAAAAGACACAATGTTTAAAAGAATATACCCTTCGCTATAAAAATCAAAATGATTCCTATACAAAATTTACCTGGACCCTGGCCTCGGTCAGGTCTGTGCGCAGAGCCAGCTGTTCGCGGGCGTACACATCTGGATAATGTGTCTTCTGGAACACCTTCTCCAGCTCCTCCAATTGATAGCTGGTGAAGGTGGTGCGGTTGCGTCTCTTCTTGCCCTTGTTGCTCTCCCCGCCGTCGCCTTTGTCCAGAGGGCTGAGGTCAGAGGTCGGGGTGCGCTCCGAGCTGCCCTTCACACTCGACTCCTTCACAGACAGAAAACTGGAATCCATCCCAACTGAGTCAGAGTCCGGGGCCACACCAGAGTCACTTAGGCCGGAGCTGTCTTTACCTGGGCACGAGAAGCAAACAGAGAAATTTAATAAGCATATTTGATCATAGATTGTATGTAGACCTATCATGATAATTAGTATTTCGACTTAACATTCAATATACAATAGCTGGAACAATATAGTTTGGAGCTCAGTATTTTTCCTTTGCAATAGTGTTGAGATTTTTGTTATTTTAGTTGTAATATGAATATGAATAAATAAGTTCTATGACTACTTCTTGCTTCATTCTGCTACTTATTTGTTACAGCTCAGGCCTATTAATGACACTTTATTTAAATAATGCTGTACTGGAACTGTTATTATTAGTTATTGAGTCAGTTGCATAAAGTGGTTTCAAATATCATTGTTTATTGCAATATATCTCTCTAGCATATATCGTGTTTGGAAATTGTATTTCTTAATTTTAATTGTACCACCTAAGTGTTTGCTAGTTCATGATTTAATGAGATTTAACAAGATAATTGATTTTGAAGTGCTTACACATGCCTGCATCATTATAGTGCTAATGTTTACATAGTGGTTATTAACCGGGGTTTATGGGATGGGGTTTTGCATTGTTGTATGGCACTTTACATTGAAACTATGCAGTATTTTCCACTGTAAACTAATGTTGTTTTCTATGACAAGGACAACAAAACATTGCATCTTAAATCTTGATGGTTGGAGTAACAGTCATGACCTAACAAGTGTCCGTAACAACTTATAACGTAGTATACCTTACTTTTTGGTGTGTACAACAACAGAAATACCTTAAAGTACATACAGAAACATTGCAGTTTGAATTAATTTATTGTAACTAATTAATCAAAGTCTGTATTTAATGTATTGCTTATAATTATCTTTAAATCTCCACCTTCAGTTTTGACAGTGACCTACCTCCGCTGGGCTATCTTTACTCATCACCTCTCAGATCATTACCCAAAATGGTCGCTCTACTTGTCACTAGAGGGTCGCTGAGGGCATGTGTCGCCTTTTTCTATTACTGACAAAGTGCTGAGAATCAGATAAATGACTCTCTCGCTTCACGGCTCTAACTTGACAAGTTTATGAGAGTGCAGATGAAACCAGATTGAAAATAACTAGAGGATATTAGAGAGGTCTGACTGAAGAGGTGACTACTACATTGTTGAAGATGGAATTGGGTAACACTGAAGCTCACAATACTGCACATACGTTTTACTGAGATGTGAAAATGCTTTTACTAATAAATATGTTAATAGTAATTTGAATACATAAATACAAAAGTGCATTTTATAATTTTTTAAGAGAACACATAAGAAGATATAAGAAGACAATACCCAAAATACAAGATTTTCCTTCAAGGTATTCTAGATCAAAAATAGTAAGATATACCACGTACCACTGAACTAGATTAGGCGATTTTCGAGTTTGGATCTCTGTCTTTCCCATTGCAACATAAACCATAAACCTGCCTAAGTTCTTCTAATTATATATTCCCTTCATGTTTAGTACATGTTAAGTCCATTGATAGACCTTACACAAAAACATGCTTGAATACTTGTAATACAATATTTCAAACATGCTTTTATAAAGTAAGTGTCAACACAAACGCACTGGCAGCTTAGACAAGAAAGCTGGCAGTGACACCGCAGTGGAAATTTATGATCAGAGAGCTGCCTGAGGTTTTACAGTTAAGCTAGAGCCTTCGGAACAGCCAAAAAAGAGAGAAAAGAGAGCTTAGAAATGGCTTTTGTGTCTGAAACTAGGCAAACTAGTTGTGACAATCATATGGCAAGATGATTTAGAGGCGTACTGTAGATCTTTTCAGGTAGAGGGTCGGCCACCTGCTTGATCTCATGTAGATGTCAATGTTTTCCCTGGAATGTAACACATTTAATTTGACAAAAACTAACAAAAAATACAAAATTCAGCCTATACCTTTTTGGTCCTGTATTTGATTTGATTTTATTGAGTGAGACAACCTGTTTTAATTTTGTTGACAAAATAAACTAACTAACTAATTTAACTATCTCCATGACGACAAGCAGGCCACATTAAAAGGCCAAGTTATAGGACAAATCTGTGGAGAATTGGGCATGCTCACAGTGATAATGCATCCTTTTGCAGTACTTTTGAGAAATAAAAACACAGATATATGAATAAATATAAGATATGTTTGTTTAATGCCATATTGTGGAACATTCCAGGCAAAGCAATAACATCTCAATGAGACAAGCAGACGGTGAACACAATGCACCTTTAATCCCCACAAATGCATGCACCACTAGGCTTGATATATGCGTGCTGGTTTGAGTCATGCAGTGGTGATGGAGTCGTAGTAAATAGCAACAACTACGTTTGCCTAAGTCTGAAATTATGGCGAGAGAATCTGCTTTCCACAACATCACACAATCATCATCGAATTACAGCAAGATCCGAGAGGCAGCCACATGGAGCACCGCACGCCAAGACATTTCACAACGCAGCACCCAGTAATGTCTTTGTTCCACCCAATATCAAAATGACATAAATTATAATCGTTTCATAGTTTCCATAAATCTAACAATTGTAAACATTTTGCAAGATAGTAGAACTTATGAGAAGCTTCGCCAAAAACTGCATGAATGAACTGTACCTATGCCAGAGTTGTCAACACACTTATTTACGTATTTGTTGTGCATTTTCATCGTGAATAACAGCCAGACGGGGACAGACACAGAAAACAGGGTAACCGCAGTGGTTAAAAACTAATCAAAACCTTAAATTGTGTTGTGATCAAAATAGCTGCTTTAGTTCAGGCAAAATGTCTACTGTTGATGCAATATAATTATATGTTTTTAACTGTTTTATGATGCAAAATATATCCAGTCACTTCCAGTTTTAAGAAATGTCCTGGACTATAATTTAAGAAGGCAGTAATAGTTTTTTTTTTTTTTCAGGTTCAGGTTAATAGATAAAGTTATATTCAATGAGTTTTGTGATTTACTTCCCCATCTGACCTTCAGATATGACTTCTCATTGCAATTTAGTGTGTTTCATTCCTCCTAATGGACAGATAATGTTACTTTTAAGATGTACATATGTGCCACTAATTCATGTTAAGTATTGCAGTAAAGATTTATGCTAGTCTTTATGGTTTCCCTACAGACCACTCAGGATCCCAGGACTGTGTGATCACTGGATGTTTTCCTTACACACAAATCGAGATGGACTGTGTTTTGGTGGCGGGGGTCTCAGCGGGAGGCTTACATCCACAACCATGACTCTCTATGTCCATGACTAACACACATCCTGTTAGGGCTTGAAGGGAGCGAGCGTGTTTTATCCAAGCGTAAATACTGGGGAGTTATTTCACCATATTCCCCTGGAAGGCACCGCGCGCCCCCTCCAGAGAGCTGTCAGGACACTGGTTGATCAAAGACTGCTGTTTAGATTCACGTCACAGATCTGCTTTTGGCCGGACCAGACTATTGTGACAGTCCAGGGCCTGTGTTATTGGTGAGGTCTGCAGCAATGCCTCAGGTGACCAGCAGTGGGCCCTCCTACAGAGAAGGCCATATGTAGCGCGCACTGGGGGAGAGGACTGAAAACAAAGAGATTCAACTACAAGCTGCCAAACGCCATGTCTTATTTAACACAACTTTAGCTGTGCTCGCCATGTTTCTCACTATGTTTCTTGGCCTCCTTTTGCAGAGTATCATATAGTGAATGTTGGTTAATCTGCTTTGCTTTCCTTGATCAATGACTGTTCTATTGTTTGATTTTCTAACTTTCTGTTGGTTAAATCAACAATTTAGTGAAGGCCTGCATGGAGACTGCTGTTGTGGGCTCTACAAAAATAAACAGAAGTGAATTAAGATTGAAGTAATTGTGTGAACTTGTTGACACTCCTTACGCAGATGTTCACGTAGCTCATCCAACTCACTGTGCCTAACATGGGTCCATTATTTGTTTCCTATAGTAAATATTATAATCTACAGATCATTCCATTGACAGCCATCTACACACAGAAACAGACCCGAGTTTGTTGAAGTAACAGCGTTGGTACAAAGTGGAAGGATTCCTGACACTTACAAGAGTGACATCTTATGTAACATGTAGTTTTGTAGTTATTAACAATAACATATATATTATTTTAGGTACAAAACAAATGCCATTTTAGGCGGTTGGCTTTATGAGAGTCCTGATGGATTAAAAAAGACTGGTAAATTAAAAAAAAAACATAAGACACAACGTATTCAAGTAAAGTAACAAGTCAAACGTATCATCTCTCAATAAGAAAGCAATATACTTCAAATGTGAATATTCATTATGTGTCACTTCAAACTCAAATTCAAAAGTAAGAACTCCATACTCCAAAATGATAATACAAAGCATGCTCTTTTTTAGCCAATATACAACCCAAAATAATAGTACTTTCTATATATTACAAGATGGTCTGACAAATCTCAAGATCATTCTAAAGCTGTTTTGCATTTAGTATCAATACTTGCTCAAATGAGCTCAGATTTTAGTATTGATTAGTATGTGATTTTCAATAGCCTTGACAACCCCAGTGCCACTATAATAAACTCTAATCCTGCTCTCGTGTGTACGGCGGTGAGGACCTGTGTCGTGTTTGGGACAGGGTCAGACAGTGGTGCAGGACGGCCATTAAAGCCCAGTTAAAAACCAAGGGCCCAACATCAAAGTCTAATTTAAGCGTCCATAAAGCGACAGGGCACCTTCGCTCTCTCCTTTATAGACTGGGACGACTGGGGTCAGCGCACGGTGTTAAGAGGAAGCCCCATAAATTACACTGCACACGGAGACTGCCGGAGATTAACAACTTGTTACACAAACTGAACAGAGAAAATTCCCAAATAGTGGAAAGATATATGAGACTGGGAAGAGGGCGCTGCATGTGTGAGAAGTATTTGTTTTAACAGCGATCAGAGCGTGCTTTTTTGTCTCAGTATAAGCTTAGAAAGTACTTAGAAAAGGTTTTAAGTCAATGAATATGTCTTGGGTAGTGCTAGGATAGATGGATTCTGACGTA